GATAGTGAGGCTCAATTTAAAGAGTATGTAGGAAAGAGGGAAATTTTTTCCCAGTAAAAGTGGCCCTTTAGACAAGGATGTGTGATGTCCCCGTGGTTGTTTAATATATTTATAGATGGGGTTGTAAGAGAAGTAATGCGAGGGTCTTGGCAAGAGGCGTGGGAGTTAAAAGATAAAGAATCACACACACAAGTGGGAGTTGTCACAGCTGCTCTTTGCTGATGACACTGTGCTCTTGGGAGATTCTGAAGAGAAGTTGCAGAGATTGGTGGATGAATTTGGTAGGGTGTGCAAAAAAAGAAAATTAAAGGTGAATACAGGAAAGAGTAAGGTTATGGGATAACAAAAAGATTAGGTGAGGGAAAAATTTAATATCAGATTGGAGGGAGAGAGTATGGAGGAGGTGAACGTATTCAATATTTGGGAGTGGACGTGTCAGCGGATGGGTCTATGAAAGATGAGGTGAATCATAGAATTGATGAGGGAAAAAAAAAAAAGGGGAGTGGTGCACTTAGGAGTCTGTGGAGACAAAGAACTTTGTCCTTGGAGGCAAAGAGGGGAATGTATGAGAGTATAGTTTTACCAACGCTCTTATATGGGTGTGAAGGGGTGGGTGATGAATGTTGCAGCGAGGAGAAGGCTGGAGGCAGTGGAGATGTCATGTCTGAGGGCAATGTGTGGTGTGAATAATGCAGAGAATTCGTAGTTTGGGAAATTAAGAGGAGGTGCGGGATTACCAAAACTGTTGTCCAGGGCTGAGGAAGGGTTGTTGAGGTGGTTCGGACATGTAGAGAGAATGGAGCGAAACAGAATGACTTCAAGAGGTATCAGTCTGTAGTGGAAGGAAGGCGGGGTAGGGGTCGGCCTAGGAAGGGTTGGAGGGAGGGGTAAAGGAGGTTTTGTGTGCGAGGGGCTTGGACTTCCAGCAGGCAGCGTGAGCGTGTTTGATAGGAGTGAATGGAGACAAATGGTTTTAATACTTGACGTGCTGTTGGAGTGTGAGCAAAGTAACATTTATGAGGGATTCAGGGAAACCGGCAGGCCGGACTTGAGTCCCGGAGATGGGAAGTACAGTGCCTGCACTCTGAAGGATGGGTTTTTAATGTTGCAGTTTAAAAAACTGTAGTGTAAAGCACCCTTCTGGCCAAGACAGTGATGGAGTGAATGATGGTGAAAGTTTTTCTTTTTCGGGCCACCCCGCCTTGGTGGGAATCGGGGCCCGGGGTGATATAAAAAAAAAAATATATATATATAATATATATTATATATAAAATATATATATATAAAATATATATATATATATTATATATAATATATATATATATATATATATTATATATAATATAATATATAATAAATATATATATATATATATATTATATATATAATATATATATTTAAAATATATATATATATATATAGATATATAATAAAAATTGAAAGATAGCCAGCAAATTAAACTGAAAACCATTCAAGTAATTGTTTTATTACAACCTTGAAGTATTTATACATTCTTTGTAGTTTCTAATCATTACTTGCCACCTTTTTTTACGGTTTATAATTTAATCTAACACTCTTTATTCTGAGCATTTAATTTTTCCGAAATGCTTCTGGTCATATGATCTGTGTTCGATATTATATTCTTAAGTATCTGCAGTGAATAGTTTAATTTTGGGCATTACCAATTAAGTAGCAGTGTCAATAATGTCCCGTTATTTGCAATGATTATTATCTTAAGGCTCGCGTCAGGCGTTGTGTGTTATGTTGGCTTTATGGGATAATTTAGCTAAATTGTAATGAAATGTGCCTGGGTATATTCTTGTTATCGTCACCGTGAGTGCTACCTTCACTCTCCTCGTCATTAGTGAAGTCATTATCCTCATTACGCGCTATCCTCACTATCTGCATTATCACCATCCCCTTCCGCATCGCCAGTGTCACTAATTTCGTCTAATAATCATCATCATTGTTATCAATATTGTCGTTGATATCTCCAACATCATTACCATCATTTTCACCCTCGCTTTCACTTTCACCATTTGCATCATCACTATCATCGTTCTTTATGCCATTATAGCTTTCACCATCACCAGCGTATCTAACTGCATCACCATCATCATTATCTGTACCACCATCGCCATCAACATTAACATCATCATCAACTCTGTCGGCATCACAATAAAAAATCATCACCAACATCCTCTGATTTATTGTACTGTTATCCCCTTTCTCATACCTCCTTTCTCAGTTTCATTAACCTATCCTATTTTTTTTTGTATCCTACTGCACATCCTAGTACCTTACCATCCTCATCCTCCTCACACTGTTGTCTTCTTGTATCATCCTCCCCTCATATCGCGTTTCTTCCCCTCTTCTTCAATACCTTCAAATATATATCAGGAAAGAGTAAACAAGAATAAGAGACATAGCATAAAGCAAAAGAAAGCATAGACAGAGAGAGAGAAGAAACGTGAAATGAAACGTCACAATGAAAATGATACAGAAAAAAATAGTGAGAAATAAACGTATCAAAAATTACTACAGAACTGAAATAAAAAATAAATATTGGTAGGAGTATTTAGAGTAAAGTATTATGCTTAAGTAATATTTTTAAATGCTTATATAATACTTAAAAGTGCATATGTAATACTTTGAAAACCCTTATGTATCCTTTAAAATATGTAAACAATACACGACAACATACAACTTAAAATAAATTTTACAGCAATCTGATTATATAAGAAAAAGTATGACAGAGAATATTTCATTAAATATTTAACAATGAAAAATTTGACATATTTAAGGGTGTATCACACACACACAACACACACAACACACACACACACACACACACACACGCGCAAACACACACACACACACACACACACACACACACACACACACACCACACACCACACACGCGCAAACACACACACACACACACACACACACACACACACAACACACACACACACACACACACACACACACGCGCAAACACACACACACACACACACACACACGCGCAAACACACACACACAAACACACACACACACACACACACACACACACACACACACACACACACACACACACACACACACACACACACACACACACACACACACACACACACACGCGCAAACACACACACACACACACACACACACGCGCAAACACACACACACAAACACACACACACACACACACACACACACACACACGCGCAAACACACACACACACACACACACACACACGCGCAAACACACACACACAAACACACACACACACACACACACACACACACACACACACACACACACACACACACACACACACACACACACACACACACACACACACACACGCGCAAACACAACACACACAAACACACACACATACACACAACACACACACACACACACACACACACACACACACACACACACACACACACACACACACACACACACACACACACACACACACACACACCGATGTGAAGTTAAAGAGAAGAATCAAGTCGGATGAGGATCAGGCAGGACTACAAAGAGACCTGGACAGGCTACAAGCCTGGTCCAGCAACTGGCTCCTTGAGTTTAACCCTGCCAAATGCAAAGTCATGAAGACTGGGGAAGGGCAAAGAAGACCGCAGACACAATATAGTTTAGACGGCCAAAGTCTGCAAACCTCACTCAAGGAAAAAGATCTGGGGGTGAGTATAACACCGAGCATATCTCCCGAGGCGCACATCAATCAGATAACTGCTGCAGCATACGGGCGCCTGGCAAACCTACGGATAGCGTTCCGATACCTCAGTAAGGATTACCTGGAGTTTACCTGGAGAGAGTTTCGGGGGTCAACGCCCCCGCGGCCCGGTCTGTGACCAGGCCTCCTGGTGGATCAGCGCCTGATCAACCAGGCTGTTGCTGCTGGCTGCACGCAAACCAACGTACGAGCCACAGCCCGGCTGATCAGGAACTGACTTTAGGTGCTTGTCCAGTGCCAGCTTGAAGACTGCCAGGGGTCTGTTGGTAATCCCCCTTATGTGTGCTGGGAGGCAGTTGAACAGTCTCGGGCCCCTGACACTTATTGTATGGTCTCTTAACGTGCTAGTGACACCCCTGCTTTTCATTGGGGGGATGGTGCATCGTCTGCCAAGTCTTTTGCTTTCGTAGTGAGTGATTTTCGTGTGCAAGTTCGGTACTAGTCCCTCTAGGATTTTCCAGGTGTATATAATCATGTATCTCTCCCTCCTGCGTTCCAGGGAATACAGGTTTAGAAACCTCAAGCGCTCCCAGTAATTGAGGTGTTTTATCTCCGTTATGCGCGCCGTGAAAGTTCTCTGTACATTTTCTAGGTCGGCAATTTCACCTGCCATGAAAGGTGCTGTTAGAGTGCAGCAATGTTTATACAGTAGTGTAATATCAGAATAGAGGAAATCAACTCTAATATACATGTACATTAAGCATGCATACTGGCCAGGGAGCCCGTCATAAGTCCAAGTCGTCAGTTAACGAGTACGTCGCTGAGTGAGGAGAGCCTGTATTTTATATAAGATCCAGTGTACGGATGAGCCTACACACGATGTTGCACCTACAGTGATATACAGCAATCAATTAAATGCATTTTCTTAACCACAGCTTTTTCTTTATAGCAACTTTACAACTTTATTTTACATCTTTCCCTGTAACTCAATTCTCAGTAAATGCAACCCCTATATCTGTTATCACTTCTCAAGACACCTCAGCAATTAATAATACATTTTTTTTTTTTTAACAAGTCGGCCGTCCCCCACCGAGGCAGGGTGACCCAAAAAGAAAGAAAATCCCCAAAAAGAAAATACTTTCATCATCATTCAACACTTTCACCTCACTCACACATAATCACTGTTTTTGCAGAGGTGCTCAGAACACAACAGTTTAGAAGCATATACGTATAAAGCTACACAACATATCCCTCCAAACTGCTAATACATGTGATAATAAAATGCTGACATGTCTGATAGCATTTAGTGAAAGATATTTTTTAGCCTAATATAACATTAGTAAAGTAATGCTTTGTACACGAAATATCCATAATGAATTATATAATCAATTAAAATCAATTAACACTTAGAAAAACAAAAATCATTGCATCACTTTTTCTTACTACTAGAGAGCATTTCCTATGTTATTAACAGGCATTTAAAGTTCGTCGGCTTTTACAGTTTGCGTTTCCAACACCTCAACTGGTTTAACAGTTTGCATTTCCAACACCTCAACTGGTTGTACAGTTTGTGATTCCAACGTCTCGAATGGTTTTACAGTTTGTGATCCCAACTCTTCAAGTGCCTCTTTCATTGAGTCAACAACAGTTTTATCATCATAGTAGTAAAACTTATATGTTGGATTGCCTTTCTTGTTGTAGATACTTTGTTGTACTTCTTCTTGGGAGTCAAGAAAGAGAATGCGTGGAATGTATCCTCCATCAGGTGCATACTTGTCTTCCTTTGGTTCTTCATCATCTATAGTGTTAACCATAACAAAATTCTTGCTTAGTTGTAATGCTTCACTAGATTCGGCAAACTTGGGCTTAAATGCTTTACATGCTCCACACCAAGACTTGTGGATGATAAGCATTAATGGCTTTCCAGTGTCTTTAGAGATCTTTAGGCCATCTTCCAATGTATACCATTCATAATTTTCTCCAAGACCTCCATATCAACTGCACCAGTGTTTAACGGGAAGACAACATGGCAGAAAACCTGATCAACTAAATCTCCAAGGAAATGACAGGTCTGTAGGACTTTTTTCTTCAGTGCCAAACGAGGGAAAGAAATTCGTTCAAGACTCTGTATACCATTTACGTCAGGCCCATACTGGAGTATGCAGCACCAGTTTGGAATCCACACCTAGTCAAGCACGTCAAGAAATTAGAGAAAGTGCAAAGGTTTGCAACAAGACTAGTCCCAGAGCTACGGGGATTGTCCTACGAAAAAAGGTTGAGGAAAATCGGCCTGACGACACTGGAGGCAAGGAGGGTCAGGGGAGACATGATAACGACATATAAAATACTGCGCGGAATAAACGAGGTGGACAAAGACGGGATGTTCCAGAGATGGGACACAGACACAAGAGGTCACAATTGGAAGTTGAAGACTCAGATGAATCAAAGGGATGTTAGGAAGTATTTCTTCAGTCATAGAGTAGTCAAGCCATGGAATAGCCTAGAAAGTGAAGTAGTGGAGGCGGGAACCATACATAGTTTTAAGGCGAGGTATGATAAAGCTCATGGAGCAGGGAGAGAGAGGACCTAGTAGCAATCAGGGAAGAGGCGGGGCCAGGAGCTGTGACTCGACCCCTGCAACCACAAATAGGTGAGTACAAATAGGTGAGTACATACACACATATCTAGTAGCAACCAGCGAAGAGGCGGGGCCAGGAGCTGTGACTCGACCCCTGCAACCACAAAATAGGTGAGTATAAATAGGTGAGTATTGAGGTTTATAAAGACTAAGAGAAAAAGACACTCGCATGTAAAGAGACAGACTGTGAGGAAAATATCACAACACAAATTCAAGAGAAGCAGAGAAGGTTAGCATTCAAACACCTGTAATCATTTGTGCTTCGATTAAAATTAGACCAGGAATAGACAATAAAAATATCACGGTGCCGTGACCGGAAGAATTCACTTATTGCTTTACAATGGTCCAGAACCGACCAGTTCGTCGTCGCAAAGTTCCGAAGTTCGGGTTTTTGGTGAAAAAGTCCTGAAGTCTTTCAGATGAGAGTTATTTTGTCAATAGAACGGATGCCTCTGATAAGTTTTCTTTAGCCGATGTTAAGGAAGCGTTTTTAAATGTTCATCCAGAGTCAAACGGGAATCATGAGAATCATCCCCAGATGAAGATGGTGAGATATTTCTCAATAAGCATTAGCATTCAAAAGCGAAGACATCGTTTGTCTATAGAGATGTTGCTAATATTGTTGATAATATGAAGATACAACAGTGAAGGTACCTCTGCAGTGTCTGCAGTGTTCAAGAATTATGCTGTAACAGAGAAGGTAACTTGTTTGCTCACTGCAGGTGTTGAAGAATGATCTGGCAACACATAAGGAAACTTGTCAGTATACTGACTGCAAGTACTAAAGAATGATCCTGCAACAGTGAAGGCAGCTTGTCTGTATACAGACTGCAGGTGCTGGAGCTAAGCCTAAATATTAGAGTACTGGAGTGCTGCTGTTAAAAATGTGAGGAGCCCTGATGAAGAGGCGTCAATACATTACCTTGTGAAAGAAGAATTCGTGAGAAGTAAAGAGGATTTAGCGAGTAGCAGGGATGCGCTGCCTAGATTTTTACCCGGGTTTCACCAGTCGAACAAATAATGGTGGGGAAGTGTGTGTGTGTACTCACCTAATTGTGGTTGCAGGGATCGATTCATAGAGTGTGTGTGTATGTGTGTGTCCAGATTGTTTCACTTCCTGACAATCTATGACTGAAGAAATACTTCCTAACATCCCTGTGACTCATCTGAGTTTTAAACTTCCATTTATGACCCCTTGTTGCTGTGTCCGATCTCTGAAACATTCTGTCCCTATCCACCTTGTCAATTCCTCTCAGTATTTTATATGTTGTTATCATGTCTCCTCTTTCCCTCCTGTTCTCCAGTGTCGTCAGCTTGATTTATCTTAACCTCTCCTCGTAAGTTGGTTCTCTTTCTGACATCAAAATGTTTATTTGACGTAAGCATCCCTGAAGAAACCACGCTGTTGCTGGTGTTAGCTGGTAGGAGTTATCAGGTGAGGTTGATTCTTGCTAGTTGATGGAATGATTGGTACCAGCTGAGACTGACTGCTATTAGCCAATAAAGTAAGTATACTAACAGAGGCCGATTTTTATCAACCAGTTTATCTAGATGAGACATTTTTTGTCATCGAATGGAACGAGTGTTATCAGCTTAAGTTACATTCTCAGCTGCTGGAGCGAGTGTTACCATTAATGAACACAGGTATATTTACGCCCTTCAAGGAAGGAGCCTTGTAGATGAAGGGCTCTTGATCCCAGGAATTGTAGCTACTCTCCCATTTCTTCGATCAAACTTTATTATCTTCAGTACCCCAGGCACTGTATAGCCTTAATGATTTATAGCTTCCTTCAGGAATTTCATAAAAATAATAATTTTGCATGCAACGCAGCTCGGGGCTAGGCTGCAGAAAATTATCTTATAATCACT